TCACTAAGAGAATCCTATTGATCAAACAAAGCTAAGTTTTTAAAAGTTACTGCAACAAGAGAGGGCACCACTACAGCAGTCTTGGTACTTTGGGGAAATTAGGAAAGGGTAGGGTTTTGAGACCTAGACTCCTGTGGATTAAGGCAGGTCTTAAAAAAGGTGGGGAACTGGTTGGGATGGGCAAAGTTTGTGACACAATATTTAGAATGAGTGGACATAAGAGAAAGGTCTTGAGGCCATCTGTTACCCTGTCAGGATTGCTGCTTACCCTGATGCACAAACTGTTTGCCCAGGTAAATTAGTTTACAAGAATTTCCTGAAGCCCACAGTGAAACTTGGTTTTGCGTTCTTATCATCCTTGGCAAAATAATTTCCTGGAGCACAGTTACATCATGTTCTCACAATTCTCACTGCTACTTCTACCTCTTAAACTTTGCTTCAGTCAATCACCTTTCTCCACCTATGCTATCACCGTGTCCTAGTTCAAGCTCCCATCCTAACTTCCCTAGACTATTTTAAAGCCTTCTAATTTATCTGTAGCCTTTCCCCCTCAAATTTCTTTTCCATACTGCCACCAGAGTAACATAACTATTGTAAATGACCATGTTACTGATGTTTTTAAAACCTTTTAGTGGCTTCTGGTTGTTTGTGGGAGAGAATCAGGACCTGGTCCTTGCTTGCTTCTCCAGCCTCATTTCTGCTTTCCTCTTCTTGCATTGCTGCCTAGCATTTAATTTCCTACCTCTATGCTTTTTTTGATGGTTTTGCTTCTACCTGAAATATTTTTTCCCTCCTACTCCCCACTGTATGTGGCTAATTTTTGTTCTACCTTTTAAACCTAACTCAGGCAATATCTCTTGTAGGAGATGTTTCCTGAACCTAGACTCTGCAACCAGAGCATATTGTGTATAGTACTATTGTTATATTCACCATATGGTACAGAAATTAACCTTTTATGAGGGGAGAGAGCCACCTAAAGGCAAGTTGTCTTATTAATTTCTGTATCCACTAGCATTAGCAATAGGGTCCTGCACATAATTAAGTTCTCAGTTTTTACTGACCCAAACAAATTGGGTCAGAGGGGTAGGACTTAAAGGATGGGAGATAGAGGTAATGATTTAACTTTAAATTAATGTATCTGAGGCAACATAAGTGCACCCAAATATAAAAATTTGAAGGAGGAAGACTAAAAAATACGATGAGGAAATCATAGCTGTGGTGATAGTTTGTGTTGATTATATCTCCATAAATGATAGTATAAGTAAGAGAAAACAGACTGAGGACTGATTTTTGGAGAAATACCATCAGTGTGTGAGAGAAAGTAGAGGAATCCCTCAAGGGCATCAGCAGAAACAGAGGTGAAGAAGATAAACCAGAGGAGTAGAGTATTGGGGCAAGGAAAGGGGGATACAGGGAAGAAAGAAGTGTACAAAGGAGAACTGGAATCATGGTGTGACATTTTGCAGAGCAGTTAAAGAAAATGGGAACTGCAGAAAGATTTTCTGAATTTGGCAATTAACATTGTGCCTGCTGACTTTTGAAAATTCTAGTAGTATGGTGATTTCATTTCTTTTTCTAAAATTTAGTTTGTAGGACAAAATAAGTTCCCAGGTTTTATACTTAGAAAAATAGTTCATTCACCTGTGTTCCACCAGGATTTTCCCAAGGGGTATGATTTTTTTTTGGGGGGGGAGTAAAGTTCAACTTTATTGAGAACCAATAAATGTTACTTGGAATTAGTACTCTTTTTCTTGTTAGCTGTTTTGTCTTTGTAAGCAAAATCATTATATGTAGATTACTTGAAAACATAAAGTTTTGTTGATGTATCAATTTTTTTCTTAATTGCTAGATTATTTTGCAGGGCAGTGGTAGTTACTTATTAAAAAGTAGCAAGATGTTATCATTATGTATTTTAATCTTGCCAAATTCATTTTAGAACTATTATATCACTAATTTTCAAAAATTTTCCAGCCATGAAACCTTTTCCTTAAGTTTCTACATGTTCCCCAAACATGTAAATTTCAGTAAAGTGGAGTTTGTCTGTTTGAAGCTGTGACAGAACCTAAAGCCCCTCCTGAGAGTTGTGTCCAGTATTCTAATCTCCTTCTCTTTCATTCCAATCAGTGGCCCCTGTGTCTCTTTAGAAATCCTAGGACTACTTAAAGCATAGTTCGAGAATCACTGATACGTAATATCCTGTAGAAATGCTGATATCAAAGCATTTTAGTACTGAAAGTGACAAAATATTTTAAACCCCAAATGGGTTGACACATTCAGTCTATTCTTTTAGTAATCAGTAGAATGATAAAACAATAGCTACCCAAAGAGCAAGTAAACTTGTACAAGAGTTATTTAAACAGGGATATCTTCCTTTAAGGGAAGTTATGGAAGTGGTACCTTTGTTAATGGGAAGTTAGCCTGCTCTTATATCTGCAGTCTTTTCTGACACCAGTAATTCTCTGGTCTTATGTCTACATTTATCTTACCTGGTAAATATCACCTAATATAATAGGGATTTATTCTATCTTTCATTTCTTCAGATTTATAGGGTGCCATATATGTGACAGACACTGTGTTAGGATGCAGGGGTACTATTTAAATAGATAAGCTACAGTCTACTATTAAGGAAATGGAAAATTGCTATAAGGTTTGATGAGTACAGTAGTAAAGGCAAGCAGAAGGTGTTAATGGGAATTAGGAAAGGGAAGGACCTAATCCAGGCCAGGTAGGGGCTTGTTAGAAAAAAATGCTAGCTCCTCCGAAGACTCAGAAGTTGGCTCTTTAATGATGAGTAGACTTTAACCAGTGGCAAATGGGAAGGATCTTTCTTGGCAGAGGGAAGAACATACACAGAGGCTCTGAAAGAGAACATGCCTTATTCAGACAATTGTAAGTATCTTAGTATGGCTAGAGCTTAGCATGTGAATGGGGTGAGTGAGTGAAGCCAGGTGAAAAAAGACTGCCATGCTTAGGAATTTGGACTCTATCTTGAAAGTAATGTGGAGCAATTGAAGGATTTTAAGCAGAGTAATTGCATGGTCAGATTTGAATTTTAGAAAGTATTCTGGCAGTAGTTAAAACAAATTGGAATGGATTTATTTTAGAAGCAAAGAGATCATTAAGTAATGGGCTTTTGCAATAATTTAAGCAAAAATGTCAGGATAGTAGAACAGATATGGTGAGTGGGGGAATGAATTCAAGATATATTCAGAAGGTAAAATCAGTAATGATATTGGTCAGAGAAGGAGTAAAAGCACAGATTACTTTTCAGGTGTGTCTGCCTTGGCCAGCTGGGTAGGTGGATTGTCTTTTTCGCTAAGAGAAAGAAATTAAAAGAAGGACTCATACAGGCTTTTGCCTCAATATTTCTAGGGTGTCAACTTGAGCAAAGATGTAGGTGTTTTTTGTTTTCTTATATTTTCATTTGTGTACATTCCTTAAATGTGATATGAAAGAGTGTATAACAGGATGTATTATCAGAGACAGTTATGGGATTCTTTTTTGAAATCTATTAGATGAAGGTAGATGTCATTTAAGGTACTTTAGGAATGAGTGATCTACTTAAAGGGAAAGGAATGACCATCTTTTGTCCAGTCCTTTTGATTATTTAACATCTACTTTTTATACTCTGTAAATCAATTTTGAATTGAGAAATAATAAATTTATTTTTAGAAAATCCAGGGATTTTTACATTGCAATTCATCTGTCAGTCATTAACTTTCAAGATGTGTGGTAGGATTGGCTAATTTGGTAATAGTTCTGTGGCATGCATTTAATTTTCTTCAAAGTGCACCCTTCAATTTTCAAGTCTCTCTGGTGTCTTGTGGGAATTAATGTTCAATCCCTTGCATTTAGCACTCCTGCCTGACAAAGAAGATGTTTCCTTTATGTAGCTTTGTCACATCATTTACTCAAGTTAAGATCTCTTTTAGGTTGGTTGAGGTACTTAAATCCTTCAGGGAAAGAATGAGCCATGCTCCTTAACAGAAAACTGGACGTCTTGGCCTCAGATTTTGGTATTTGCTCTGTAAAATGACACTTATTCATTGCATTCATTCATGGATTTATTTATTGAATGTTCTGTTGTTTCTTATCAACTAGGCTTTCCTTCCCTGTAGTTTTGTGATTTCTACTGTACCTTTGAAAAGACTAGAGAAGTATGGGGGGGACTCAATAATATGGGTGAATATAGAAACCACGTTATTTTTCATATGAAACTTTCATAAGAATGTGTATCAATGATACCCTAATAAGAAAAAAATAAACACTAATGAAAAAAAAAGTGACTATAGTTTAATATTTTGATTTACAGTTAATACCGAGACTTGGGCCTTTGTCACTGAAAACTATTAGATTACTTTCATATCTAATATAGATACATAAGTACATTCTGATGTCATACTACTTGCAAGAAATTTCTTCATTAGATTAATCCTAGTAGAACTTTTAAAATTATGTATGTTTAAAGGAAACTTTATTCCTTTTTATAAAAAGGCAATTATAGTCCTTGATTTTTTAGTGTCTTTATTAGTAATCCAAAAAGATCCCCAAATTTTGGTGTTTCAGAATGACTTTTTCATAATAAGGATTAAAGTTTTCAGAAATTGTTAGCAGTCTGTAATTTGGCCTACATGTAGAAATGTCCTTTTTCAGAAGTTAGGGTATATTAGAAGAGTATATCAGAAGAGAGGTAGATTAGTAGGAATACTCACTGGATTATTGCAATTAAAATGTTTGAAAGCTCTTAGAGTTTATCTCTTCAAATCCTACTAGAGGTTATTGTTTTACAATAATTAGTGTTATAGTTGTCTTTTCAAAAAGTGAAATTATTCGTTTTAGCTTAGAGTTACTTTAAGATGAAGTGTACTAATTGTTTATTTTCCCCAAAACCAAAATCTTTAATTTGGGACATTAGTTTTTTTATTAGTATGGTAATCCAAAGTTTAAATATGTGAAAAGGTAATAACTTCTTCATGGTGTTTATTTTATTCTGTCTGCAGATTATAAAAATTAAAATGAACAAACTACGGCAAAGTTTTAGGAGAAAGAAAGATGTTTATGTTCCAGAGGCCAGCCGTCCACATCAGTGGCAGACAGATGAAGAAGGGGTTCGTACTGGGAAATGTAGCTTCCCAGTTAAGGTAAGAGCTCATGTTTCTATAAATCTAGTGTGAGAAAGAATTGACAGTCTATTGTATGTGAAATCCCATTAATTAAGACAGTTATAAGACAACCCTCTAAAAACTAATCCCTTCATATTCTGTTTCAATGGTAGAATTAATAAGAAGAAAAATAGATGGTAAATAGTGATTTTTCTCTTTATATTTAAATAAGAATTTCTGGTATATAACCTAGAATCACTACAAATAAGATCATCTCTGATAAGAATACTATTCCTGAAATATCTAAAAATCCTGAATTGTCAATAACCAAAGTATTTTCAAATTATTATTATATGTTTACTAGGTGGTAGAACAGAGGGAGGGGGAGTCTGCTCTCCTAAATATCGGCCTGGTGTGGTTTAGAAAATCTTAAATCAGAAGAGTTAAAAGGAATTTTCTCTTTAATCTTATAAGTTTAATTATACAGAAGTCATTTAAACTAATGCTTTCATTTGTCAGATCAGAAAATGGAAGCTCAGAGAGGTTGAGAACATAGTAGAGATATAGAGAAGGGGGTGCCATACAGGTGCTTTTTCTTACTACTACTTGAGACTCTGGAGAAGGGTCATATTTAAGGTCATAGAAGAAATATACATGCTCTACTGTTTAGTGAAAAGAAGCAATTTATAATTACATAAGCATGCTATGAGATATATTAAGTGTGGGGCAAAAAAATAGAAAAACTAGACCAAAATGTTATTATCTTGAAGAAAAAAATCAGCTTAATATAACATGTTAACATTTTTCTGTTTTCTGTATATTCTTATGTGTGAATATGTATGTGATTTTTCCTCCTTTTTACTGCCCCAGCATCATTGATTGAGGCATAAACTAAAGCTACAGGAAGGAAGGTCTGTGTGACAGGAAAAGTCATTTGTAGACTCTACAGGTTAAGTAAATACATGGTTTTTGAAGAACACAAAATTTTTCCAGTTAGTAACTAAGCATTTTCCTAATCATGTAGCTTTGTCTACTTTTTTACTGTAACTTCTTTTATAGGAATAATAAACTTAAATATTTTAATTTTAAATGTTTAGTATGATATTAAAATATGAAAAAATAAACCTCTCACATGAAAACTAATACTCATATCTACTACCTCTCCACCCCACACCCAAAATAGTAGGTTCATTTTGATTATACAAATTGAGTATTAAGTGTGTGGAAATGCTTACTTTTACACACTGTTGATTGCTTGGAACATAAATCGCAACCTCTAAAGGAGGGCAATTTGGAAATATAAGTTAAAATTTTAAATGTACTTTTGACCAGCAATTTTACATTTAATACTTACATTTAAGTACATTCATAGAAATATTGGCATAAGTGTTCATCCTAGCATTGTGTTTGTAGTAGCAAAAATCTGAAATCAAGTTAATGCCCATTAGATAAAGAAATTATGACATCCATTAAGTGGAATCCTTTGCCACTATTTTAAAAAGAGTAAGGTAGACCTAAATTCATATACTTGCTAAGTTGTTTTTGAATACCTGCTATGTGCCTGGCATATGCTCAAGTGGTAATTGAATAAGATACAGTTCTTATTCTTGTGGATTTTAGTCTCCTTGCGGAACGGACATATTTCATCTAGATACTAGCATTGATAATAAATGAATACAAACTGAGATAAGTGCTTTTTAAAAAGGGAACCTGGTTCTATAAGAGCATTCAGGAAAAAAAAAAAAACTTGACCTAGATTAGACAAAGGTTTCCCTGAGAAAGTAAAGTTTGACCTATATCTAAAAATTGAGTAGGGATCAAGTAGGTGGAAATATAGGCAGAGCATTTCAAAATTATGGAAAGTGTATATACATAGGCCCTGATGGTGGGAGGAAAGAATGAAGTCAAGAAGCTAAAGGAAGGCTATAATTTAGGAAGTTATATGAGATGAACCTGGAAAGAAGCAGGGCAGGGCTTTGTAAGCCAGGTTAAAGATTTTTGACTTTAAGAGTAATGCAAAGCTGTTAAATGGTGTGTTTTTTCATTATTTTATGTATTTATTTTATTGTGAAATATGCATAGCACAAAATGTACCATTCTAACCACTTTGAAGTATACATACAATACAGTGGTATTAATAGCATTCATGTTGTGCAGTCATCAGCACCATCCATCTCCATCTTTTTCATCTTCCCAAACTGGGACTCTAGTTTGGAGGTACCCTCTTGGGGACATGTGGTGTCTGGTGAAAGATTATTAGCATAATCCAGAGGAGAGGTCATGGTAGGATGGACTAGGGTGGTAACTGTGGAGATGAGAAATGAAGTAAATTGAGAGACAATTAAAAGATAAAGGCAACAGGAATTGTTACATGTAGTATGATTCTGCTTATTGTTAAAAATACATATATATTTATTATGTAAGAAATATCTGAGAAGACACAGGTAACTGAACTACAAAATGGGAATGAATGATTAGTGATCTTTTACTTTTCAGTGTATACTTTTTGGAACTAGTAACATTTCTTATGAGTTTGTATCATATTTGTAATAAACAAGCATATATATTTCCTTAAAACTTCTCATCGGATTCTGAGAAGCTAGTATACACAGTATTGAAATAATTGAAGCACTTCTAACTGGCTAGAAAATATATATCTTTTAAGTATTTTTTGTGACATGAATAAGGTTTAGTATTTTTTGGTGTAATTAATAAGATAAAAAATTTATAATTTACACAGGTAGGACAGCTTGTTTAGGGTGTTTTTGTATGGTCCTTTCCAAATAGCTTTTTGAAATCCTTTCTACAAGAAATTCATCCCCTGCTATGTCATGTCCCACTTAACCTGCCTTCCCTCCCCACCCCACCCTACTCCATCCGACGCACTGAAATACAAGTGACCCAGGGTAGGATAGGAGAATCAGAACCTGAAAATTTTTTCCATGGCCTAGAAATAGATGAATTCCTTCAGTCAGATATAGAGCTGGGCAAATGATGTCTTATCAGGAGTTGTCTCTGAGACTACTGAATTCTAAACTAGAGATATCTTGGTATAAAAAGTTCCCATGTAGGCAACTAGCAGGGTAGTGGGTATGCTCACTGAGGAAGAACACATTTGGGGGTAGAGATGAGTTCTTTTTGAGGTGCCTATGAGACGTGTACATGCAGATCCTCACTGACCACAAAAGCACCATGAGTTTTGATTTGGAGGTTACAAATACATTTTTGTGAGTAGGTGAGTTTATGTACATTCTTAAATAATGAGAATTGACTTTTATTTATTTATTTATTATTACTCAATAAATTATCATTAAAGTCATAACTAATTGAGATTGCCTGGTGGAGGTAAGAAGAGGAGAGGGCCTAGGAAAAATGTAGAAAGGACAGGCAGTGAAAGAGGTTTCTTCAAAGAATAAGAATGAGTAGCCAGAGAGGTAGAAGGGAAAACCTGGAGAGTATCATCTTGGAAGCCAAGATGTTGAGGAAGGAGAAAGTGTTCAAATGCTATAAAGATAGCAAGGAAGAAATGAAACTTCATTAGATTAAAAATTTGAAAGTCTCAGTGACTTTGATGGTAGCACTTACAATAGAGTCATGAAGATGGAATCCAGACTGAGAAGTAGTGGGTACAAAGTAAGGTAGGAGACAACAAGTCTAGAGATTCAAGAAATTTGTCAAACAAGGTTGTATGTGGATGGGTAGGGGTGGAAGGAAAATATTTTAGAGGACACAAGGAAACTTTTAGTGGTGATGGGTGCTTATTATATTGATTGTGATGATGGTTTCCGGGTGTATGTATATTTAAAAATTCAGTAAGTTGTATACTTCAAATATGAATAGTTTATTGTATGTCAGTTATATCTCAATAAGGCAGTTAAAACACTTTTTAATGAAAAACTTTGTCTTCAAAGGAGAGCAGGAGGCAGAGAAGCAAAAGGAATTTGAGGTCAAGAAACTGTGTGTGTGTGTGGGTGTGTGGGTGTGTGTTTAACAGCTTTATTAGATATAATTTTATACACCATAAAGTTTTCTCATTTAAAATGTATAAATCACTGGTGGTTTGATTTTGTGTTGAATTTTGTTTTCAAGGTGGGAGAAACTTGAGATAATTCAAGGCCTTTACAAAGAAACATGTAGAGAGCTGATTCATTTTGGACTTACAGAAAGGATGCTGCCTCAATTTTAAGAGTAGCAAAGGTGGAAAATGGTGTAAATGCATTTAAATTTATAGTGTCCATGGTTTGAGATTGACAGCTTTCTATTCTAAAGATATATTTTCCCAAGGAAATAGGAAGTAAATACATCTTTAGAAGAGTGAGGAGAGAAGTTAGAGAATTAGATTTTGAACACAGAATAGCTACTCTAAAAGAATAGGTATGGAATGTGTAATTACTAGAAATAGAAATGCAATTAGTGGATGATAAGTAAACCTACCACTAGTTTGATCTCTGCCATTTTTGTATAAATATACTGGTACCTATGTAAGTATAATAATTTCGGATTAGAATAATGATTAAAGTAGGTTTCGAAGCTTGCCTTGCTAGTATAACAGAGATAATTTTTCAATGGAGGAGGAATTTTAATGTTTAAAGTGAAATCTTATCTATAAAAATGTAAGCTACTGGTTCTCAAAGTGAGATCCCCAGACCTTCTCACGGGATCCTTAAGTGCTTTGTTTTCCAACCATGTGTATCTATATAAAGCTCATATACTTCAACCAAACAACATATTGTAACAGATGGAATATAGATGCAAATTTGAGAATCCAATTTTCTTCTATTACCAGATAGTAAAGAGATTTTCAAATTTGTGAAACGATGTCACTCTTGTCACAAAATTTTCTTGTTTTGGAAAATATACTTATTTTTCATTAGGAATGTTATTTATGTTAGCATAAATGAGTTTATTATCATTATCTTTAAATGAATCATTCTTAAAAGTTCTTAGTTTTAATTTCTAATATGTAATTATCAATAGGTAAAACTAACACATACAAAAATTATTTGGAGAGGGGAAAAGATGGCAGAATAGGAAGGGAA